CTCACCCGCTCTCCGGCCGCCAGGGCACGGTCATCGTGGAGCGCTGGTGGAAGGTGCCGCTGGCCGGGAAGGGTCGGAAGCCGCGCCTGCACCGGCGCCACCGCGTCTACCGGCTGGTGGAGGACACGAAGCACCGGCCCAAAGACAACCTGGAGCTCATCCTCACGCAGTCGGTGGACGGTAAGGCTGGGGCACGGGTGCCTCTACCTCAGGCCGGCCTGTTTGGCATCAGCTCTTTCCTGCCTTTTCCTACTTTGATTGAGGAGAAAGGCGTGAACAGCGCTGTGATTGCGATGTTGGCCTGTGGAGGAGGACAGGGATGCGGGATCCTCAGTAAGTGTGGGCGCAGGAGGCCTACGCGCGCCGATCCTGAAACCCTGGGATTGGACACGCTTCACTTTGTATAGAGAATATCAAGCTTCTGAATCAGACCCTCACTAATTAGAAGCCTCTTAAATGTTGTTCCCAGTGAATGTTAACATTCTTCTAGGAAGAACAGAGCTGAGAGAATCAGAGGCGCTTCTTCCTTTGGTCATCTCCTTCCCTGGGGACTCCCAGCTCGTCTGACCCAGTGTCTGTTCGCTTTGGCAGAGCTCGGAGTCCGCGGTGACTTGGTTTCAGTGGAGAAATCTCTGGGCCGGAACCGGCTGCTTCCTCAGGGACTGGCTGTATACGCATCCCCTGAAAACAAGAAGTTGTTTGAAGAGGAGAAGTTGGTGAGCTCAAAGACAGGCAGGGGGACTAAAACATTAAGATTTCCTCTAGCAACTTCTGTCCCTTTTATATTTAATTTGAAAATGAAATAGTGACTGGACCAGGAATCCAGAAATCCAGCCTATGCCTAGCATAGTAAGAGTTTGTTGTTATTTACTATGCATTCACTTTTTTTTCATCTTTATCTTTCTTTTCTAGCTAAGAAAAGAAGGAAAGTTAGAAAGGATCCAGACCAAGGCCGGTGAGGCGGTGAGTAGAAACACAGAAAGTCTGTATTTGTTGATCATCTACAGGAGTCACCAACCTCTGCTTGAGTGGTTTCTTGATTTCCTTGAACTCTCTTGATTGCAGACACAAGGTAGGGAAAGGGGAAGTGTTGTGGCTGCCATAGCTGGTATTGAGACCGGGAAATCCTGGCCTTGTGAGTGAAGTGCCCGAGCTCACTGAGTGAGGCCCCAGCATGGAAGAGTGTGAGATGGAAGCTCTGCCTCGATGATATTTGCAGACAAGTTGGAGAGAACACTTGATTGCAGACACAAGGTAGGGAAAGGGGAAGTGTTATGGCTGCCATAGCTGGTATTTAGCGGGAAATCCTGGCCTTGTGAGTGAATTGCCCGAGCTTACTGAGTGAGGCCCCAACGTGGAAGAGTGTGAGATGGAAGCTCTGCCTCAGTGATACTTGCAGACAAGTTGGAGTGAACATTAACACATACAAAAGTAATCAATAAACTTAAGACAGTCAATTATAAGAGTGACAGGGACAAAACAGACCTAGGGTGATTGGAGAGGGCTTTTGTCCAGATGGGATTGAATTTGGCCTTGTGGGATTAATAGAATTTGGATAGGCCAGGAGGGTATTCTTTTATTTTTAATCTTTATTGTTGAGAGTATTACAGATGTCCCCATTCCCCCCTCCACCTGGTTCCCACCCACCCAGGCCTTCACCACCTACTGTCTGTGTCCGTAGGTAAGACCTTTGGTTAATCTCTTCCCGAACCCCTCCCCCCTTTCCCTCTGAGATTCGTCAGTCTGTTCCATGCTTCCCTGCCTCTGATTCTATTTTATTCACCAGTTTATTTTGTTCATTAGATTTCTTGTTCGTTTATTTTGATTTTTAGATTCAATTGTTGATAGATATGTATTTGTTGCCATTTTATTAATATTTTTATCTCTTCTTCCTCTTTTTCAATATTCTTCAACATTTCATGTAATATTGGTTTGATGGTGATGAACTCCTTTAGCTTTTGCTTGTCTGGGAAACTCTTTATATGGCCTTTGATTCTAAAAGATAGCTTTGCTGGGTAGAGTAATATCGGTTATAGGTCCTTGTTTTTTTTTATCACTTTTTTTTCATCTACAGGAGTCACCAACCTCTGCTTGAGTGGTTTCTTGATTTCCTTGAACTCTCTTGATTGCAGACACAAGGTAGGGAAAGGGGAAGTGTTATGGCTGCCATAGCTGGTATTTAGCGGGAAATCCTGGCCTTGTGAGTGAATTGCCCGAGCTTACTGAGTGAGGCCCCAACGTGGAAGAGTGTGAGATGGAAGCTCTGCCTCAGTGATACTTGCAGACAAGTTGGAGTGAACATTAACACATACAAAAGTAATCAATAAACTTAAGACAGTCAATTATAAGAGTGACAGGGACCAAAACAGACTAGGGTGATTGGAGAGGGCTTTTGTCCAGATGGGATTGAATTTGGCCTTGTGGGATTAATAGAATTTGGATAGGCCAGGAGGGTATTCTTTTATTTTTAATCTTTATTGTTGAGAGTATTACAGATGTCCCCATTCCCCCCTCCACCTGGTTCCCACCCACCCAGGCCTTCACCACCTACTGTCTGTGTCCGTAGGTAAGACCTTTGGTGAGATGGAAGCTCTGCCTGGTGGCAAGGGTGAAGGTTCTCTTTGTGGAATTTACAGGGAGGGCTCTTACTTCACAGTGCTGACCTGGCTCCTGCTAGTGCCAAGTGCACAACATGGCAGCACAAGAGACCAACACTAAGCCCCCAATGCAGCACGATCCTGCAAAGGGACCAGCCAGCCACTCACTGGATCGTTGATTTATATTCTACCTGGATGGGCCAGTGATTCAACTTGGCTGGAATTGATACATATTCTGCTACAGATTTGCCCTTTTTGCCCACATTGACCAAAACCATTATCTGAAGGATCTGTATGGATCCTAAAAAGCATTGTCTCCGACCATGGGGCATGCCAGCATGTATATGTCTGTTGTAGACTAATGACTCCTTCCAAAATTATCCATATTGTAATCCTCAGAACTTGGAATATATTATCTTACTAGAGGCCCTGTGCACGAATTCGTGCATGGGTGGGGTCTGGCCCACCCGCCCCACTTGGGGCCAATTAGGCCTGGCTGGCCAGGGGGAGGGGCCATGGGTGGTTGGCCTACTGGCCCTGCCCCCTGGTCGAACTCCCAGTTGAGGGGACAATTTGCATATTAGCCTTTTATTATATAGGATTACATAGGATGTGGCAAAAGAGGCTTTGCAGGTGTAGTTAAGTTGAGGATCTTCAGATGGGGAGAGTATCCTGGATTATCCAGGTGGGACCAATATAATCACAAGAGTTCTTATAAGACGGTGGTTCTCAACCTTGGCTGCACATTAGAATCACCTGGGAATCTTTTTAAAATCCTGATTTCTGGGCCTCATCCTCCGGAAATTCTGTTTCTTTGTTACTAATGTTGTGGCCCCACCCCATAACAAAGAAACAGAATTTTCGGAGGATGAGGCCCAGAAATCAGGATTTTAAAAAGATTCCCAGGTGATTCTAATGTGCAGCCAAGGTTGAGAACCACTGCTCTTGAGTGTGCCCTTGTGGATATATAGAGTTGTAATCTGCTATGGTCTAAAGCTGTCCACCTAGTGCACTAGCTCTAGGACCTCAAGGGAGGTGTAAAGTCAGCCTCCCACAACCAGGGAGGGCAGGAGCTACAAAGGGATCTGCAGGCAGCTGCCATTTGCTGTTTTTATTGGGCTTGGAGGTGCCCAGGCGAGGCTGGTACTGGTGCCAGATCGTGGGTCTTTTGATAGGTTTGGGGCACTCTGTCACCAGCTGCAGCTTGTTTGATTTCAGGGAGCCTGAAGCCTGAGCCAGGACAGGTCTATTCATATGGAAAAGCTGCTGCAGACAGCTTGAGTGGTGCTGCAAATTGGATGGGGCGGGGTCTCAGGGTGGAGCAAACAGTGTGCTCCAGGCTCACGGAGACTCAGCTATGGCTGCCTGTCAGCCCTGGGACAGGGAAAGTCCCAGCACAGGAACAGTGATCCCTGTGAGTACCCCTGCCTGGCAGAAAGCCGCCCCCCGAGTTCCTGCCCTGATGCCAGGCAATTCAATTCCTCCACCTATGTGTCTGGGTTCCCCGGCGCTGAAGCTCAGAAGTGGGACCATGTAAGTTTGTGTTCGGGTCCTTTAAGGGGAGCACATGGGTCTCCAGCAGCCTGTCACTCAGCCACAATTCCTGCTGGTTTTTACAACCAGCCCATAGTCGCAGGGATTTCTCTTCCGAACTCTGGAACACGGGGTTGGGGGTCTGGTGTGGCTCCTCACAGGCTGCCTCCATAGAGACAATCTCCCCCCAAATGAAAACAAAAAAAAAAAAACAGTACAGGTGGGTATCAGACCAGCCTGTCCTGCACCTCCACTCCTGCTACCAGTCTCAGTGTGCTTTCTTCTTTCTCTAGTTGTAGAATTTCCATTCAGCAAGCTTTACAGTGGTTCCACATGATGGATGTTCTGTATTTGTTGTAATTTTGATGTGGTTGTGGGAGGCGTTACATATGCCACCATCTTGGTTCTCCCTTTTTTTAAATCTTTATTGTTGAAAGTATTACATATGTTCCCCCTTTTCCCCCGATTGACCTCCTTCACCCTGCACCCACTCCTCCCAGGCCTTTACCACACTATTGTCCCAGTTAATCTCCCAACACCACCTTCCCTCTGAAATTCGTCAGTCTTCCATGCTTCTCTGTCTCTAGATCTATTTTGTTCATCAGTTTATTTTGTTCATTAGAGTCCACATATGAGTGAGATCATGTGATGCTTATTTCTGACTGGTTTATTTTGCTTCAGGAGGGTGTATTCTTAAGGGAGAAAAAGTGTAAGAAGATAGCTAAAGCAGAGGACTTGTGTAGTATAATGTTAGGAAACATGGCTGTAAAGGGGTTTGGGGTAGGATTTACAAAACATCTTGAATCCTCCACTAGTGAATTTATATTTCATTCTGTAAGCAAGGAGGAATCATTAATAGGATAGGGGTGTGATTGAAGGGCCAGAAGCATTGGATTAAAACAGCCTATGAAAGTCATTTCATCCTGAGATATACCAGTGGCTCCCTTTTTTTTTTTTTTTTTTTTTTTTTTAAATCCTCACCCTGAGTGTATGTTGTTTTAGGAAGGGAAAGAGAGAGAAACATCAATCGGTTGCCTCCTATACATGCCCTGACTGGCCAGGGATCCAACTCTCAGCCTAGTTATGTGTGCCCTGACCAGAAACTGAGTCCACAGCCTTTTGGTTTATGGGACATGGTCCAACCAACTGAGCCAACTGGGCAGGGCCAGTGGCCCCAATTGATGAAAAACAGCCACTTGGTTAGGGACAACCAGACATAGAGTACATTCTCCTCCAAAGTGTCACAAAAACATCTTTCCACAGTATCATATCAGCCTTGGGACAAGAATGTTCTCTGTCTTTCCGTTTATCTTCTCACCTGTCTTGGCTGGCTGTGAGGCAGAAATTGTGCCCTTTTCCTGAGCTCTCAGACCTTGTGCCTCTTGCCAATATGTTTCTAACTCTAACGTAGCCTCTGTTTATAATTCCTCTCAGACAGTGAAATTTCTGAAGAGCTGTCACCTGGAGGTGGGGATGAAGAACAATGTCAAATGGGAGCTAAACCCTGAAATAGTTGCCCGCCATTTTCTAAAAAACGTGAGTGTTCCCAAACAGTACTATACCACTGAGGGTGGAAGCTACCTATGGGAAGAAAGCCTGGGATTGAGCTTTTTGTTAGAAACAGGTGTGAGTCCAGCTAGAGTTAGGGAAAGTGTTCTTGGCTAGTTTGCAGGGGTGTGGGAAGGAAACGGCTAGGACTAAGGTTGGTCACATAGAATCTGAAAACAGATAAGAAAATATGGTATAGTTTATTTCCTCTCAGGAAAACCTGAGAAAATATGACTTCACTGGAAAATTGTTCTTGTAATTGTGGTCTCTAGCCCTGTTTCTCTTTGTGAATCCACCTCTCTTTCTGAGAAATGAGGACTGAGTTTCTCTGCCACTATCTTCTTTGCCCTCTTGTGGGATCAGCCAGGATAAACTATACAGGAAATTCTAGAACCCTCTTTATGAGGTTGCCTATAACGACAGACATGTAAACAGAGCTCCTTTTTCTATGATTTTTTTCCAGCTTGGTGTTGTGGTAGCCCCACATGCATTAAAGTTACCAGAAGAGCCCATCACGCGATGGGGCGAGTATTGGTGTGAGGTGACGGTGAGTATTTTACATACTGTCTCCTTTTTCTGACTTGGTGAAAAGCGGGGATTGGGTGTTGTTGGCTATTACCTGCCCAACTCATCTCTGGGGATTCCTATTGTTTTGTATGCAGGTAAATGGGCTTGACACTATCAGGGTACCTATGTCTGTGGTGAACTTTGAGAGGCCCAAGACAAAAAGATACAAGTACTGGTTGGCCCAGCAAGCTGCCAAGGAAATGGCCGCCACCAGCTCCCAGACGATCTGAACCTACTCTCCCTCAAAAGTGGTGAAGCAGAATCTGAGGCAGTGGAGCAAAGATGAGCCAGCTCTGACCAAATACAGAATTTTAGAGACCATATGGGGACATCGGACTAAACTGCATATATATGTTGAATTCTCCAAATTTGTCATCTCCATCTTCGACTGTTATCACATCTCGCCTTATTGGGGCAGTCCTGCTCAAGAAGTACCAAGTTGTAGATATAAGGTAAATATTTAATAGATCAAAAACAGTCTAGATCCTATTTCCTCTTCCTCCATTGGAATTCATTGGAATAAATGGAAGAGCTAGCATTGTCTTTAGTGCTTGCCTATCCTCATTATCCAAATTGAACATTTATATCTCAAAAAGAAATACAAAGGTTGTGTTTTTTTTAGGTGTTTACTGAGCTTGAGTAGTCTAGGGACAGGACATCTACATTGTATGTCCTCTTGAGCCACTGGGGTTTGCTGCTAAAAAGAAAGAACACATTTGCAGACCACACCCCACAGTTGCTGTGGGCAAATTACTCAACTAACTGTTATGTCTTTAGTCTTAAAATTTACTCTCACCCTAGCTGGTTTGGGTCAATGGGTAGAACATCGGTCTGTGGACTAAAGGGTCCAGGTTTGATTCTGGTCAAGGGCACATGCTCGGGTTGCAGGCTTGATCCCCAGTGGGGGGCATGCAGAGGCAGCCGATCAATGGTTCTCTCTCATCTTTGATGTTTCTATCTCTCCCTCTCCCTTCCTCTCTGAAATCAATAAAAATATAATTTAAAAAAAAAAAAAAAAACTTTCACCCTGGCTTAACGGATAAAGCATCAGCCTGTGCACCACAGGATTGTAGGTTTGATCACCCGGGCTGTGTGTGCAGGAGGCAACCTATCGATGTGTCTCACATATCAGTGTTTCTTTCCCCTCTCTCCCTCTGTCCTCCCCTTCCTCTCCCTCCCTCTCCTTGTTTTTCTCACTCCCTCCCTTACACTTTTTCTAAAAATCAATAGAAAAAATATCCTCAAGTGAGGATTTAAAAAACACACACAAAAACTTACTCTCATAATCAATAGAAAAAAATATCCTCAGGTGAGGATTTAAAAAACACACACAAAAACTTACTCTCGTTAGGTATGTTGATAAAGTCATCAATATGAGTAAGCACAATGGATTCTACTTTTCTAAGGCAATCTGAATTAAAGCTTAAGGGTAAATGTTGGCTAAAATAAAAATGGGATGAAAGAAGTTTAAAAAAGAAACTTCTGTATTGTTTCTTGAACCAATTCCTAACATTTTGGAAAAAAAAATCTTGGTTTCCAGACCAAAGTTAAGATAGGGGCTGGTTGTTAGGTAATTATAGAATATGTGTCGTGATAAGAGATGAAGTAGTTCTGCGTAAGTTCAAGGTCCATTGGTAGGAAAAATACCCAACTGTTAACAAATGGATTATGTGAGAGACACTCAAATACAATGAGAGGTCATGCAATTCAGGTGGCTAGAGATGGGACCATTGACACTGCTATCCTTACCAGAAACTCAGAGCTTGGTTGCTGTCATCCTTTTTGAGCCAGTTAAGCTACCACTCCAAGACCATTAAGCACTTATATGCACTTTCATTCACATGAGGCCATCCCAACTAAAGAGAGGTCTGTCGGTAGTTGCACTGATAACTACCCAACCTCTCACTTGCCAGAACTCCATAACCTGGCTCTAGCACAGGTATTGTTTGAAACTTGTCATTTCTCTGATCCCCATCCCTATTGTCATTGAAATGGAAAGCTCACTGAACACAGCATCTTTCCACATCATGAAGCGCTCTGAAGCTGAGCAATCGGCACAACATTCCACACAACTAATCTCAAAGTGTTTAAATACTTGCCATGGGGTGAAGTCCTGGTGGGACAGATTGAGTTGGGGATTTGCATGCAGGAAGTTTATTGGAGGAGTTTTCTGGATCAACACCTGTGCGGGAATGAAGGAAGCAGGATTGGGTAGAGAGAGAAGTTGAGCTGATATAGTATCAACAAAGACCTCAGTCAGTCCCACAAGCTCAAGCTAGGATGGCTCTGCAGAGATGTGTATCCTATTGAAACAAATGGCCAGACCAATATACCCCCACATAGACTAGAAAAGGGGCATAGACCTAGGGTGAGTTTATCAACTTCAGGCAAAGGCAGTTCCCAAAGGGGTATTCAGATCAAAGCAGTCACCCCTATACCCCTGCCAGGGTGGTATCACAGAAAGCAAAGTGGGGAACCATGATTTTCATCCCACCAGCCAGTACGGAGCTCTCCCCCTCCATGGTGTCAGTAGGGAACCTGGATATCTGCTTCCACCTGCCTTCCCACAGGGTAGTATCAGAGGAGACCTACTGAAGAGTTAGGACTCCCACCATTACCTAGCAGTAATGAAGTCACATCCATCATAATGCTAGTGGAGACCATGAGGAGAGCTGCAATCCACCAGCAGTAACGAGAGCTCAACTTACCTTGGGTATCAGTGGAGGTGAAGTAGGGAATCTAAAATTCCACTTCAGTCTCAGAAAATACAAAAATGTTCGTTCCCACTGATGAGTTCCAATTCTTAAAAATATAATCATACCAAGAACTAGGAAGATCTCAAACTGAATTTTAAGAAGACAATAGATGCAAAGATTGAGATGACAGATTACCAAGAACTAGGAAGATCTCAAACTGAATTTTAAGACAATAGATGCAAAGATTGAGATGACAGACATCAGAATTATCTGATGAGGATTTTAAAGTACCCACCATGATAAAAATGCTTCAACAAGCAATTATGAACGTGTTTGAAACAAATGGAAAAAAATAGTTTCCGCAAAGAAATGGAAAAATCTCCACAAAGAAATAGAAGATGTAAAAGAGAACCAAACAGAAATATTAGAAATACAAGGCCCTGGCCAGGTAGCCCAACTGGTTATAATGTTATCCGATAATGCCAAGACTGTGGGTTCAGTTCCTAGTCGGCTCTGATGAGGATTTTAAAGTACCCACCATGATAAAAATGCTTCAACAAGCAATTATGAACGTGTTTGAAACAAATGGAAAAAAATAGTTTCCGCAAAGAAATGGAAAAATCTCCACAAAGAAATAGAAGATGTAAAAGAGAACCAAACAGAAATATTAGAAATACAAGGCCCTGGCCAGGTAGCCCAACTGGTTATAATGTTATCCGATAATGTCAAGACTGTGGGTTCAGTTCCTAGTTGGCGTACATACAAGAATCAACCAATGAATGCATAAGTGGGACAACAAATCAATGTTTCTCTTGCTCGCTCTTGTTCTCACCCCTTCCTCTCTCTAAAGTCAATAAAATAAAAAAACTAGAAAAATAACCAAAATGAAAAATTCAGTGGATGGATTCAACAACAGAATATAAAGACAGAGAAAAGAATCAGTGAGCCATACCTGGTTACCCTTCAGAAGGGCCTTCAAGGGACAGCACATGCCCCTCTGGATCTCTTGCATGAATTCTGGACAGACTGCTCTGTCTCCTTTTCAATCCCAGCTGTCACAGTCCCAGCAGGAAAGAGATGGCACACATGAAAGATTTTCTGGAAGGACTTTGGCAAAGGGACTGTTGACAGGTGTGAGAGCAGAGGCAGACAGCCAACCAGGGAGGTGGTACTCCTGAAACAGACCATCCAAGGTCTCAAGGGAATTGGGCCATGTGATCACGTAAGAGTGGGCATGTGAACAAGGGGTTGGGACCAGGGAACACACAGGATGAGGATGGAGGAGGGGCCACGTGAAGATTGAAGGGCTGCGGCCAGGAGCCCCCAGAAACTGAAGAGGCAGTAAGAATCCTCCCCTAGAGAGCACAGCCCTGGAAGTGGGCACAACAACAAGGGGGCAGGGCCACATGATCTAGGGGAAGTGGGCACTGTTTTCCGTTTCACAGTAAAATAGCCCTAACCTGCAACATGAACACTTTTGGTTTACACCCTTTTCTCACCAGCATGGCCACACTTGTGACTCTCTCCTCGGTGACTGTTCCCTGTGCAGGTCAAATTGGTCCTGCTTCCCTGAAATAATAGCCGCTATCTATGAAGGCCTACTATGGGCTAGAAATGGCTCCAGAGCCTGGGTATAGTGACAACTCACAACAAATCCACAACGGACATGCTATCACCCTATCGATAAACTCAGCAACCCAGGAGAACAACAGGAGTGGTGTAAGAATGCTGAGAGTTCATTCTTTTCAACAAGCCCTTAGAGAGAGGCTAATATATGCAGAGCACCTGGTTCTTCTGGATTTAAGCTGAATTTCCCGTGGGTGCTGAAAAACTTCGGGTTTACACACTCATTGCACATGCCAACCTGCTCCTGGGGAGATGCTTTTACAAGTAGGATGTGAGCATTCTTAGAGTTCCTTCATGTTAAGGGTGTGTGAAGGTAACATCTAGTAGCAGCCCCTCTTTTTACAGTTAGGAAAGCCAAGGCGCTAAGAGGCAAACACCGAGGTCAAAGGAGGGAAGACTTCAGGCAGAATTTCCTTGGAGGAAACAAGAATTGCCCTTCAGGTTTAATAATGGACAGCTATGGGATTAGATAGTAACTTGGTGCCTACAATTCCGATTCAACTGTTAACATTCAGTTCCCATGTGGGGACACATTTTATGGCCACCTCCTTGTCGTGCCCCCACCCCACCACCACAGTGCCAGTCAAGTGCCCCTCCTTTATGTGCCCATAATGGCTTGGATGTTCCTCGTATCATTTCACTTTTGAAACTATTATAATTATCTATCTACTAGTGGCCTGGTGCACGAATCCGTGCACATTGAAATTAATTAGAATAAATATTTTAATATCACTATTTGCCCTTTCTCTATAAGTGTCAACCAAATTCACAATCAACAATGACAGATGGAAACACACACGTGTGATTGGCACCAGTGAGAGCTTTATATGTATTGCACATGTGTGAGTCAACTTAGCCTTTTCTAGATATAAACTGGCTTAATTAGACCTGCTTTCTGATTTAGCTAAGCTTTTTCCAGCCCAGTGAAGCACCCCAACTTCTCTTTCAGATAATTCTCAGCAACACAGCAGTAAATATCAACACAAAGCAGATTATTATTGTAGATCATGCAGGGAGAACAAAGGGTAAAATATTCTACTGCAGCAGTGTTTGACTATATTCTGCGCAGTGAGAAAACCTGAAGCCATATTCAAGGTCCACCATTTCTTACTTCTTGTCAGTCAGGTCAAGTTTCTAAGCTTTCTAAGTCTCCATTTTCTGGCTAATGAAAAGAAAATAGGATTCCACCAAGTCACCTATCTAACTACCGCAGGACTTCTGTGAGGATCAAATGAGATGAGGCATGGGAAAACGCTTCACAGACATTTGGTTAAAGTGTGAAATGTTTCCACCTGGCTATAAAGCAAGTCGTATTCCTGGACTGAAGAAACTGCAAGGAGGCTAGTCCCGAGGGAAAGGAAGGCGGGCATTGCTACATGACATCATTACCCTGACTGTCCCTTAGCATATTAGCCTTTTATATATACAGATTTGTCTTCACTCCTTGAGGAAAGAGTGTATTTTATTCCCCAAACTGCATCCTGAGTACATAATATGCTCTGATATCTGTTGAATAAATGAGTGAATAAGTAAATGAGTAAATGAATTACCAACCTGGCAAGGTTCCTTTTCTTCCAACACTGAAGGAGGAGACATCTAAGGAGCTCAGGAAGCAGCACTGCCAGAGGTAAGGTCCTGGATTTGGTAACTTGGGGAGAAACTTACTATTACAGGAATCTGTAAATCTGTGAATATTTTCCCACTCCTAGCCCTGTTTCTCTTCCTTCCTGCTTTTCCCACGCAGGCCTAGAACAGGCATTCTCCCAGTGGTGTCTTGAGTTCGGCCTCCCCAGGAGAGGGCAGCAGAGGCCCACCCAGCTAGGAGAGGGCCTTGCTTTCTGGATGCTGTCCTTCCTTCCCACCTCTTGAACAGTGAGACCAAGGCCGTCCTTACTGCACGCCCGTCTTGGCGTGAACAAGACTGACAAGGCCTGCTTTCGCTGGAGCCACAGGCAATAATGAGAAAATAAGCAAACCAGACACATGAGACAGCGGTAGGTGCTGTGTAAAACAAAACAGTGACATGAGAGAATGGCGGGGGGAGTTTACATATTTTTTACGTGCCTGGGGAGGCTCTTCAGCTGGAGTCAGGACTCTCAGAGAAAGTGACAAGAAGCTACGTAGGACACTGTTGGCTACTCAATACTCAGCCTCCCTTAAGCAGTCCTGGCCAATGAGATGTTAGTGGAAGTTGGCGGAGTGGGCAGAGGGAAGCCTTTGCTTCCCAGAAAAGAAAGACAAGTCTCACTGCAGAGTCCCTGTCTGGTCCTTCACCTCCTCCTTGACCATGAGGAGGAGAGGAAACTGCTCAGAGGCAGGCGCCGAACAACACCATCAGCCACCACCTCCACACTTGCCATGTGAGAAAAGCAAGCCCTATTTGCTTAACAGGGTTACTCTTTGCAGAGTTCTCTCTTCCCTTCCCTGCAGAGCACCCCAACTTGGACCACCAGCCCCGTGAAGACCTGGGCAAGAGAAATGCAGGCAGAGTCCAAAGACCCTAAAGTGGGAACGACCTTGGCATGTTTGGAGGAAGAGAGAAAAGGTGGGCATGGCTGGAGCGTGGCGAGGGGGGTAAAGTCAGAGAGGTGCAGGTCTGGCAAAGCTTCGTGCCCCTGGGTTTTATTTAAGTGCATGGAAGACTGCCAGAGGGTTTTAGGCAGAAGAATGACATACTCTGACTTAGGTGTCTTAAAAGAGCATTCCAGCTGTGACATGGGAAATGAGTCAGGGATGCAGCTCTGCGGCTGACTTAGCTGCTCCCACTCTTCTCTTGCCACCTTTTGCTCTAAAACAGTGGTTCTCAACCTTCCTAATGCCGCGACCCTTTAATACAGTTCCTCATGTTGTGGTGACCCCCAACCATAAAATTATTTTCGTTGCTACTTCATAACTGTAATTTTGCTACTGTTATGAATCATAATGTAAATATCTGATATGCAGGATGTATTTTCATTGTTACAAATTGAACATAATTAAAGCATAGTGATTAATCACAAAAATAATATGTAATTATATTTGTGTTTTCCGATGGTGTTAGGCGACCCCTGTTAAAGGGTCGTTCAACCCCCCAAAGGGGTCGCGACCCCCAGGTTGAGAACCGCTGCTCTAAAAGCTAGAGGAGTTAAAGTTCCCTTTCCTGGTCTCTGTTGCACTTGGGGTGAACCACAGGACCCCCTGAGACACAGGGGAGAGGATTTTCAGAAACATTTTCTTTCCTGATAAAAAGGGATGGACTCAGCTGGTCTGGCTCTCCTCCCTTCTCCCCCCTTGGAGCACAGGACTGGCCGCTGGGAGTGCAGGGCCCTCTCAGACTGGGCGGTCACAGGCCACGGCCAGCAGTGGACAGTTGGAAGCCTGGCCTGGGTGCCTGTCGGCATCATTAAACCTACTGCCAGCTGCCAGCCTTAGTGGGTGAGGAAAATAACCCCCTATCTGCGTAAGACAATCTCCACCTGATTCTGACATGCAGCCTGCGTGGAAAATGATGGCTAGACTGTCAAAGTTCTCCTGGGAAACTGTGGGGGTGGGTGAGGGTGGAACCCACCAACACACTGCTCTTCACCTACATCACTCCCACCTCCAGGGACCAGGTCCTTCCTTGTCCTCAGTCCCCTGGTTTCTCAGTGACCACAGGTGGGCGAGAGAGCAGAGGAAAGGGGGCAGCATGGGCAATAATGGTATCAGGGCCTAAAGGAATCAGGTGTGATGTCAGCCCAAACTCCTGTATTTTTCACCTCCTCTAAGCCAGCCTTAGTAGGTGAGAAAAATAACCCCCTATCTGCATAAGACACTATAACTTGGGTTTTGTTAAATAAAACTAAATACATTCTCAGCTTCCTTAGTGGACATGCGAGTCAGCAGACAGCTAAGCCTTGGTGCAGGTGAGAGACGACGGTGACTGGACTACGGCGCTTGTCTCCCTACCGGTCTTTCCAGTCTAGTCTCAGTTTACTCTAATTTGTCCTCCAGAGTATGACACTTTCTAAATACAAATCTCTTCATTGACTCCTGTTGGCTTAAAATCCTCTGCTGGCTCTCCATTGCCCACGTGATAAAAAACGAACCTCCTTTGTCTAATACACGGTGCCCTTTGTGATTTGTCCCCACCTTTCCCACTGCTCCACCCTTGCATTTCACACTCTTCCAAAAGGACACACCCCTAGTGAACATCTCCCACATGCCAGGTACGTACCAAACATTCTTCATCCTTAATCCAACAGCCCTGAGAGGTGGGTATTCACACTCTAAGTTTACAGATGAGAAACTTAATGCTCAAACAAGTTAAGTGGCACAGCCAAGACCACACATCTAGTAAGTGGTGTGTCCGGGTTTAAACTCTGGTCTTTACTGCAAAACAAATTAGAGGTTTATTTTCCTCACTTGCCAAGTCTGAAGGCAGGTGCGTGCCGGGCTGTCCGGGTGCTCCACGATGCTGCCGGGGCCTCGGTCTTCTGCAGAGGACTGGCTCTCACCCTCCTTGTCGTTTTGAGGCCTTACAATGGCTGCTCAGCTCGACATCACATTCAGGTTCAAATCAGGGAGAAAGGGGAGAAAAGGGCGGGCTACACTAGCTTAATCTGTCACAACCCCCTCCTATATTTTTGTTATGAAAGCAAAGCTTTCCTAGAAACCCCCAGCACACGTACCTGTAGCTAGCTCATGGACACGTGGCTGCCCCCTAGCTGCAAGGGAGCCTGGGAAATTGGGGAATATAATTGTGGTTGGCTTAGATAAATAAAGTCCACTGCTTGGGGTCCAGCCCCCTGCGGCCCTCAATAAAACTGGTGTTCTGTTAGCCAGGAAGAAAGGGGTGATGAGGAGCAGGTGACAAACGGGGTCTGCCACCATCATCTGCTCAGCAGAATGGAAGCACTTGTGGGACTCTGGCTGCCCCACGCCTCTCCCCACATCTGCAAATCCTTTCTTACCCATCACAGGCCAGTTCCTGTGAGCCCTGGTGCTCTTTCTTTTATCTTTTCCTATATTATTGCAGGTCGCTTCTCCCAAGAAGGGTTCCAAGAGTGTCTAATACAACACTTCACACCAAAGGCCCTCAGTGGATGTGTTTTGTTTTGTTTTGTTTTTTTGTTTTGTCTTGTTTTGGGGGGGTTTTTTTGCTGAAGACTTCGTTAGGATTTTCTAAACAGAGCAATAACCACTGATGTGTGAGTCTGAAAGCACTTAAAATAATGCTTCAGGTTCCTATTCCATAGCTTACTATGTGTGGTTTTTAATAGTTATCTAAATGCTCTATTTTGTTGCCTTTTCTACTACTGCAGCTGAGAACAAGACAGGCAGGGACAGGGAAATACAGTCTCTGCTTTGGGCTGTGCTTCTGTTGCCATGGTGATGTTGACAAATGACACACAGGTGACAGGTGCTTCATACAGTGGAGCCAGTGGGTGACGGAGGCCAGGCACAACATAAACAGGCAACACCCATGCCTCCCGGCCTGGAAAGGACTTCCTAACGCCACTGGTCCATGCCCCTGCCTTTTAGCTGAAAACCACATGGATGGAGGTCTCGTTTCTAAAAATCCTCAAGAACAAGGTCTACCACCCCTGAGTCACCTGTTAGGCTCACACTTCACAGTATTCACTGACCCTGGATGGGTTTGCTATGTCTAACCTCATTCTCCCTGGCTGTCCTTCCAGCCCAATTCCTCTTATGGTCTCTATGGAAATAAAAGTTAATCACCTGCACACTCTGAACAGTAACCCAGGAGGTAAGATCAAGAGAAAACAAAAGCCATCGAGGAAGGGTGGCCTGGTTCAGCACCACCAGCTGTGGTCCTCAGGGTCCCCAGCCCTGTTCTTCCATCCACTCTTGGCTCTGGGAGTGGGTGGTCTGGAGGGGTGGGGAGTCCACCTAGTGGGCCACAGGTGGAAACAGCTGGCTGACCCGAGAGGCCCAGGGGCTGCCCCCGAAAGAGAAACAGGCCTACTGCCTACCAGGTCAAAGCCGGGGCAGCGCCGTCCTCCTCCTGAGTGAAATGAAGCAGAGACAGCAGGAAGGTCTGTTTTTAATGAGTATCTTTAAAAGCCTTTGCAAAGTAGACAGAGCCCAAGGCAGCTTGGAAACCCACACTGATGACAACAGACTCTCACTTCCAGATGCCCTGCAAGACAGAAATGGTTCTGCTAAATCCGGACTGTGGCTTTCTCCCACCTCCCATTAAAAAAAGAAAAAAACCCCAACCTTGGAAATCACTTCAGATCATCCTGCCTGTGAAATGTGTGGCGGCCCTAATGGCCTCGCCTGGTTTAAAGGGGAGGGGAGCAGGAAAGCGCCCAATCCCAGATGCAGAGGGCAAGTGCTCCCACCTTTCCCAGGGCCTCTTGGCCCCACCACCAAGGACTCGGGGAGAAGGCGTCTGCAGAGCAGAGCACCCTGCGATTCTGCAATCAGAGAGCAAGGGCTGGATCCGAGGAGATCCCACCCCCATTCCCCTGTCACTCTCTCTACCCCTCACTACTCCCACTTCCTTTCTCTTCCTTTCACCACAGAACGAAGACATGCTAGACACACCCTGTGCCTCTCCTCAGTCCCTAATCCCCAAAATAGTGCCAAGAAAACGAAACACTGGCATGAAACTTCTGCTTCTCCGTTTGCTTTCTTTCACACCCTGGGCCCAGAAAGCCAGGGCTTCTGTTCACAAGAGTAAAGGAGTCTCTGTCTGCAAAGAGGTTGACACCCACCCCCGGGCTGGATCCTTTCTGGTCTCCCTCAGCAGCTGAGCATCGTGATTCTGCTAATTAAGCCTCTTTCTTCTGCTTAATTAGCTGCGTGTGAATCTTGTTGGGAAGTCTTGGATCCGTGAAATAGTCTGGGATAAGAATCAAAGAGAAGAAATCATCTAAGCCCAAGAGACAAAGGCTGGGGGGCAGCTTACTCTGCTAAAAAGTTAGGCTGGCTCGGTCTTAGCCGGCTGTGACTAGTGGCCCCGCTTTGCCACGATGAGATGTCACAGCAACTTCTGAAATCACTGCCCCCTTTACCACCACCCCACACCGCCGCCTGCACCTCCCTCCCCAGCCGTCCTGGGCCTGCCAGCGCCAGCGTTCCCAGGAAGAGCTTCCACGGGGCGGCCCCCTCCCTCCACACCGCCCTCCTGGGCTTGCTGATGCCCAGGGAGCCATCGGAGGGCTGAGCTCTGGCTTTTCTGCTCCCGGCCCATCTTGGGGCCCAAATAAATGCCAAGTGTTATTCTTGTCTCCACTGGGCCTGCCCGCCCCTGTCTCTGCCTGTCACGCCCTCTCTGAGAATATCCTCTCAGAGGAGACAGGCTCTGGGAGAGTGACGACAGAAGAGGGTGTTAGACTCACAGCATAATGTGAACCCGAGGCAGCATCTGCCGTGGCAGCAAAGACGTACTTCGGTTCAGTTGGAAATGGTTGGCGGATGTAACCAACTCCCAGGGCTCCCAGGGCCCAAGAACCCGCCCAGCCCAGCCCCTCCCCTCTAGATACCACTGACCTTAAGCCAGCTCGGGGCAGTGGAGCCCATTAGAGTCACCTGGGGAGCCTTTAAAACTGCAGAGGCCAAGCCAAGCCCCACCCCAGGCTAATTAAGTACAAACCTCCGGGTGGGCCTGGCCTCTGTGTTTTAAAAGCTCCCAGGTGATTCTCATGTGCAGCAGGGGAGAACCCTGCTTCCAGATTCCCAGGGAAGGAGCTGCCACTACATTCGGTTGGGAATCTCAAAATCCTTAACCCTCGCCGTAAGCAAGTTCTGCCTCACTTCTTACCTGTCCCCATTTTGAGGAAACGACCATGGACGAAAGAGCCTTCTGCAGAGAGCTCCCTTGGGGGGCACCGGGTGAAGACATGGCCCAGACTTGCAGGGAGAACCCTGGGCTTGTCCGAGTCTAAATTCACAAGAATGCTCCTTGGGCTGGTTTATCAAACACTCGGAATGGGCCCCGCCTTACTCACCTGCAGCAAATTCTCGGATGTTTTCTGGCCTTTTCAGAAACATTTCTCTGGAAAACATGAAGGGACAGGGGTAGGGAGGGAAAGCAGGCTTTATGGCCGGCGGCTGTGGCCGGGTGAGGTTGTGCTGCAGCCAGAGGAAGCTTGTCATGTGTTCAGCAAACGTGTTCCCAGAACCAGAGACGGAGCCAGGGCGGGCAGCAAAGATGAGGGCAGCGGGGCAGACTGCAAGCCCACCGTCTCCTGAGTAGGTTTCACCGTGAAGCCCCAAGCCTTCAAAGGGTTCATCGTTTTGCCCGAGTTCAGAAAGCAAGTGACTAAAGGGAGAGAGGGCCTGGGTTTTGCCCAGCCTCCCCAGCTCTACTGGAGGGCCTGGGCCTCAAGCACTAAGGATTTGGCTTCCCTTCTTCTCTTCCACTTCAGCTTGAGAACTAGTGAGCACAGACTGTGTGTAAATAACTGCACTAGATGAGAGAGGTTGGGATATTTTTAAAGATAAAATGTAGCCCCACCTTAAAGGAATTACAGTCAAGATAAAGGCAATGGGTAAGTTCCCGAGTGTCCAACAGGCCACCTCCAGGCAGCGCTACAGGAGGATAGTCGTGTGTGGGAGTCAGGGACAGGAGGCTACTGAGAGCAGGACCCCAACATCTCCGCAGAGCTGGCACTTGAGAGGAGCCTTGAGGTGCACATGGGGTTTCAGCGCAGGACAAGGGCTGAGGGACAAGAGCATGCAGACCCAGGCAAGCCCCAAGCACAGGGGCTGGGAAGTGAAACCCCGTGTTCTATCGATGGTGAACTTCCCAAGGGCAGGTACTGGGTTGTATCCACCTTTGTACCCCCAGGACCCAGCAGAGCACACAAGGAGCGTCAGTGCCCCTCCATGAGGGTCAGTGGAATGATCAGGGAGGTCCGGTCTGGCCAGAGTAGGGGGCACAAGAAGGGAGTAGTGGGAAGCTAAGGAGGCTCTATTATGGGTTCATGAAGGTCTGGAAGAGACATTTATACTCAATTGAAAAGACAGTGGCGATGCATAAATAAAGTGTGGCATAGTCACACGGTGGAATACAGGACAGAAAAGGGAATGGGGATCTACATGATACTGTTGGGAAAAGAAGCCAGGCACAATGGAGTACAGATTGTAGAAATCCATGTATATAAAGGCAAACCAGATTTGTGCTCTTAGAAGTCAGGATGCTGGCGACCTTTTGGGGGGAAGTGGCCGGAAGGGCCTGAGGTGCTAGTCGGGTTCCGGTCCTTGATCTGGATGCTGGTGCCTGTGTGTCCCAGCTTGTGAAATGTATCCAGGTTAGGAGATGCCACTTTTCTGTACTCTGTATTTCAATAGAATGGTTTTGGTTTTGGTTTTTAAAAGCGATGGAATGGATCCACTGAAGATTTTTCCAGCCAAGGAATGATACGATCAGTGCTGTATTGGGGAAGATTCGTCAATCTAACATTTAATAAAGCCTTTCTCAAATTTCACTCTTTGCTATCATATCTCCAGCCTAAAACCTGAACTCTCTGGGTGCCTAAATCCCTACTCTTTCCATTTTTCAGGTTCAAGATTCAAGGTATTAAGAGTTCTGGCCCAGCCCATGTGGCTCAGTGGTTGACCCAGGAACCAAGAGGTCACCGGTTCCATTCCTGGTCAGGGCACATGCCCAGGTTGCAGGCTCAACCAGTAGGGGGAGTGCAGGAGGAGGCAGCCCATCAATGATGCTCCTCTCTCATCGATGTTTCTATCTCTCTATGCCTCTCCCTTCCTCTCTCTCTAAAAATCAATTTAAAAAACCATACTTTTTAAAAAGGAGTTCTATACGCTGTGTGTATGAGTTTAGACTAGAGAGCTGTGGCTGAATGGCCATAAATCACTAGGATCAGAAAACCCAAGTGCGGAGCTTGCTTCCCAACAAAAGTCCGGAGCTTCTGGTGGCTTGGAGTGAGCCCAGAGCAGAGACCTGCACCACAGGGAAGACCGGTGAGCTGCCCAGGATTCCGCCCCCTCTCCTCCCTTCCTCTCCTTCACTGGAAGGACCGTCGGGAGCATCCAGTACAGAAGAGGGCCTGATTCTGGTTCATCCTGGCACCACCCAAGGGAAATAACAAGAACACCAAGAGCAACCCAAACTTCAAACACTTCCTCTCCCCCTCCCACCTCCACCACAGAAAGAGAAAGGCCTGAAAGGGGCCAGGAGGGTTTCCTGTAGGGGAGTTCGGGAACAGCGAATGGGAAAGCCTGGTGCCCTCCTTGGCCTGGGGAAGGGGGTGATGAGGAAGGAAAGGGAAGGTGCCTCGGCTGCCCTAACAGCTAGGCACAGAGGTCCAGCTCCTGGAAACTTCCTGGAAGAGAAGCGGGGCCATCCCTGACAGGTGACAAATCAACGCCCTCTTCATTCACCCCCCAAGGATTCTAATCCTTCCATTTGTGAACAACACAGACAGACGGTGATTTGATTCAAGCTTTTATCATCTCTCTCCTGATGGAATTATTTCTAACTTGGATTGCAAGCTCCCCACGATAGGAAGGCCATTATTCTTATTTCCCTTTAGAAAAAAAGGTGCAGCCCAGCCAGCATGGCTCAGTGGTTGAGTGTCTACCTATGAACCAGGAGGTCAAGGTTTGATTCCCAGTCAGAGCACATGCCCGGGTTTCGGGCTCAATCCCTAGTGTGGGGCATGCAGGAGGCAGCCCATCAATGATTGATCATTGATGTTTCTATCTCTCCCTCTCCCTTCCTCTCTGAATTCAATAAAAATATATTTAAGAAAAAAAAAAGGTACAAAAAGTGATGGCCTGACCCCCAGGGCTGACATTGACAGAGGACTCTCTAAACTATCTTTTGCCCAGGCCTTACCCTAGACCAGTGGTCGGCAAACTCATTAGTCAACAGAGCCAAATATCAACAGTACAACGATTGAAATTTCTTTTGAGAGCCTAATTGTTTAAACTTAAACTATATAAGTAGATACATTTTTATTAACTTAATTAGGGTACTCCTAAGGCTTAGGAAGAGCCACACTCAAGGGGCCAAAGAGCCGCATGTGGCTCGCGAGCCGCAGTTTGCCGACCACTGCCCTAGACCAGTGGTTCTCAACCTTGGCTGCACATTAGAATCACCTGGGAATCTTTTTAAAATCCTGATTTCTGGGCAACGAAGTGGGAAAAACAGGGGCTTGGGTCCTACTTCAGCAACTTGGAGGTGGTACTTCACCTCTCAGAACTTAACCTGAAAGCCTGTAAAATGGAAGTGACGATAAGCTGTCTTTTGTAGAGTCGCTGGGAGGATCAGCAGGAGTGTACCAATGCCGTCACTGTGTGGGCACGGGGGACACCAAACATGGCTCCACCAGCTTAGAGCTTGGGTCCAGGGAGAGAAACGGAAGATCGACAATGCAATTACAGTACAGCGTGATAACTGCTGATGTCGGACACCAACACGGTGCCTGCAAATGGAAGCCATTATTATTATTTAAACCTTGCCGATGTGGTTATAGCCAAACAGTATTTGAGATCGTTCTGTTCTATTGTTTTCACCCCTTGCGGCTCCCCCTCGGTTCTTTGTCTTTCATCCCATTAGGAGACTTTTCTACTCAAACAAACGCCATACTGAAAGGCAGTGTGGGGGAAGGAGAGAGCATGCTCCGGGAGATGAAGGAAAATGGTCTTTCCCCCAAGACTTACAGAGGAGTGACTCAACTCTCAGTCTTTCTGCAACTATGTTCTCAGGTAGGGAAAGGCCAGACACCTGAATTTTTTAAAAGTTCTAATGATTTCATTAAGAGTCTCTGATAGAGAATGATGTTCTAGGCCAGCGGTTCTCAACCTGTGGGTCGCGAGCCCTTTGGGGGTCGAATGACCCTTTCACAGGGGTCGCCTAAGACCATCGGAAAACACACATATAATTACATAATGTTTTTGTGATTGATCACTATGCTTTAATTATGTTCAATTTGTAACAATGAACTTGGGGGTCACCACAACATGAGGAACTGTATTAAAGGGTGGCGGCATTAGGAAGGTTGAGAACCACTGCTCAATGGCTTGCCCATTGAGTTTCACAAAGCCCACTTCCTTCTTCCAAGTGTCACAAGGTATATAGTTACCCTGACAGCTACAGTGAATGAATATTAATATTTTTGAGACTTTAGAGGTAACTGAAGGAAACCTCTAGAGATAACTCAAGAAAACCCTGGATGCCACAAATCCCAGAGTTGGGAAGAATTAAACCTTAGGATATTTTGTACCTTTCAGGCCAGCAGGAAGCGATAGGGGTGCTTACAGAAGGGAGTCCCTCACGCTCACCTATCCCCAGGCTGGGCACAGTGCTGCCACCCCTTGCTCCATGCCAGCCTGGAATGCCACCTACCTGTAGAAACCACTTAGCAGCAGCTCCACTTCCTTGTGGGATCTTAGGTACTTCTCGTTAGCAATCCGCGTCTGAATCTGGGGACAAGAGCAAAGCGGCACATGCTCCGTGAGGAGGCAGATTTCGGGGTTCAAGCCCTGGTGGTGTGAAGGGCTGGGGAGCAACGCGCGCTTTTACCCGGCCCTCACGCAGGACAGTTGAACAGTTCAGCCCTGTTGTCTTAAGATCAACAGCTCCATGCTGCCTCCTGCTCGGCCTGAAGCGCCTTAACTACAGTCGCGTCTCCATTGTCGGGAACACCTGGTTTGTACCTAAGTTAACGTATCGGTCAGTCATTTCGGTCCACTTCTTGGTCCAGGTCCCTGTGTTAGTTCTTCCTGCACTTTGAGGCGCCCGCCAGAGCCCCGTCCAGGGATCCGCCGGGGTTCTCCCCGGGCCTTCCCCCCTTGGTCGGGAACAGGCTCCCCTCACTCGGGGTTCTCCTCCCTGTCTGGGCCCTTATCCTGGGGGAGCCGCGCTTGGCTGGAGGCGAGGGCGGAAGCGCACCCACCTTGTAGTCGCGCAGCTTTTCCAGCTGCTCGGGGCTCAGCGCCCCGGGGTCAGGCCCCAGCTGCCCGTCCTCCATTGTCGTCATCTTGTTGTGGTCGTCAAGGCG